GGGCCTGGGTGCACTTTTAAATGTATGCTTCTTAAATGGGGGACTCAGAGTGTGAGCCAATGACTTATGGAGACAAATGGAGATCATTGTTAAAAATCACAAAAATGGTCCTGGCTGCTTTGGCTCAGTGGTTAGGGCGTCGGCCGGCGGTCCAGAGAGACCCGGGTTCGGTTCCCACTAAGGACACGTATCTCGGTTGCAGTTTGTCCCTGGCCCTGGTTGGGGTCATGTGGGTGGCAACCAGTTGATTTATCTCTCTCACATTGATGTTTCTCTCTCTCTCTCTGTCTCTCCCTCCCGCTCTATCTGAAGATAAACACAAAAATGTCCTCGGGTGAGGATAAAAAAAAATAATCACAAAAATGATTATCAAAAAATCCGAGACAAATGCATAGAAAGGGAGCAGATGCTGCAACATCTTGGATAAAAATGTAAAGCAGATACATCATTTTGTATTACTTTTACAAGGAAAAGAAAAGTTAAAAAAACAACCACCACAACATGGATGAACAGTATGCCATGAAGCCAGACACAAAGGACCACATCGTGTATGACTTCATTTTTATGAAATGTCAAGAACAGGCAAGACTATAGAGACAGAAAGTAGATTGGTGGTTCCCTAGGGCTTATGGGGTAGGGGGCTCAGGGGACAATGGTGATTTTTGTGGGGATAATAAAAATGTCCTGAAATCAACTGTCCCGAAATCACCTTTGTGAATATACTAAAATCTGCTGAACTGTATACTTTAAAAAGGTATGATATGTGAATTAATGGCCAATAAAGCTGTCACAACCCCCTAACCCCCCAACCACCCAGAAAAACCCACCACAATGCAGTAAGGCATTTATTTGAACTCTTACACCAAGGCTACAGGTCTCAGAGGCCCTGCTGCTCAGTCAGGCTCCTGTGCACCTTGGCCGCCGTTCCCTGGAGCTGCAGAAGCTCCAGGACCCTTCCGGCCTTGGGAGGCGCCTGCCCACTGTGGTTTTGTGAGGAGGCATGACTTTCTTAGACAGGGCCTCCTGAATGGAATAAGCCTCACAAACTTCAAAATCTAAGGGCCCTGGAAGGAACCTCGCCAGGGAGGCCCCAGGGGCTCAAGCTGCTTTAGCTTCTCAATAAACCTACCCTGCAGGCCGGTAAAGAAGTGCTTGCAGCGTTAAGACAGCTTTCAGAGAAAATGAAGTGTGTGGGGGAGAGCGGAGTCCGCACCCACCACAGAGAAGGCTGAGCTGTCATCTTTTATTGGGTCTATTTCCTACTGCTCCGCCTCTCACCCTGGACCGAGAAATCAGGACATATTTCCACAACACCAGGGAGATGCGGGATGGAAGGAAGGATTTTTCTATGAGTACTTAGATTGTAATATTAGGTAAATCAAAGAACAGGCACATTATCACGGAGATCAGTCCAAGAGATGACCTCCTAAGATTTATATACCTCTAGATAACATAAAGGCTGATAGTCGGGCTTCTTTCCATCAAAACAGTTCGAGAGGGATTTCTTCCTGAGAAAGGAAAAGAATCCAGAAATCCATTCAAATAGCGTTAATCTTGTTAGCAGTCTCTCAGCCTGCTCTTTCACTTGCTTTCTCTCCTGAACTGCTCTGCACGCCGTACAGGGCGGGGGTGGGCGGGGCGGAGAAGACCACTCCCACCCCAGCTGCTGGTCCTGATGCTGAGCCACCTCTCTCCAGTGAAGCTTCCAGGACAAGCCAGGCGGCACGCGGAGCAGCACCGTGGGGCTCTGACCCGCGGCCTCCCCCTCCTCCGCACTCAGAAACACCGTCATTAGCGAAGGCCCTACGAGAACCTGCCTGCAGCCAGGCGGCTCCACATCCTTTCGTGTTCTGTGTCACCTTCTAGAAACTCCAGGCCAAAACCACAAGGGCTGCAACAATCCGGTCGCCACACCTGCCCCAGGAATTTTGTTGTTCAAAACGTCACCTTTGCCCTTCCACAGGGGCTAACAGTGGCCCGCAAGGATCCACGTTAAACCCCTGGAACCATGACTGCAAGGCCCCTTTTAAAGGGGGGGCCAGTCCAACTGGGTCAATAACAGGCTTCTCTCTGAGCCTCAGGGGAATGCTCACCTCTGGAGCCCTCCCACTTTCAGACATGTCCCAACCATGGCAACCAGTGGCCTTTTTCCTCACATACTTAGAACAAACATGAATGGAAATATACATCCAAGGACATCCGGGCTGGTTAACGTCATCTACACTATGACTCAGAAAGCCTGCTCCTAGGTTTGCCTAAAAGAAATAGAAATATATGTCCACAAAGACTTACACAAGACTGTTTGTAGAAGCAACATTCATTGTATCCCTAAACTGGAAATAACCAGATTACCATCAATAGGACAATGGACAAATAAACTATGCTATATCCATACAAAGAAATCCTACTGCTTTGGCCGGTTTGCACAGTGGTTAGAGCGTCTGCCCGAGGACCAATGAGGCACGGGTTTGATTCCGGTCAAGGGCACGTACCATGGTTGCGATTTGTCCCCAGCCCTGGTCGGGGTCCTGCAGGAGGCAGCCACTCAATGTGTCCCTTTCGTGTTGATGTTTTTTTCTCTCTCTCTCTCTCTCCTCTCTCTCCTACTCTATTTGAACAAAAATGGACAATGTGCTCGGGTGAGAAAGAAATAAATAAAGCAAGCAAGCAAACAAAACCCTCAAACCCCACACTTTTACTCCTGCAAGTTCAGTGTAAAATGCACATGAAACAGCTCTGTTTCTAGAGAGGAAGTCTCCAGGAGCAGGTCCCAGGCTCTCTGTAACACAGGACATGCCCATCGACAACTCAGACAACAATGCTGAAAAGCGGGCGTTTCACATGTGATCACAGTGCCAATATCTGTGGCCAAAAGAGGAGGAGATGTCGGTTTCATGGAGCTGAACTGGCAAGTGCAGTTCGTGAGCAATTTCATTCTCTAGAAAATGGATGATTACAGGAAGCATGGGCTGTACATTCAATGTGGTGAAATGAAAAATGAGCTACTTGGGAACATAAAACAAGGAGGGCAGGGCATAGATGCTGACTTGGCAAGTCATCGAGCACCCTGTCCAAGGAGGAAAAATTATCTGTGTGCACAGGTGCACACACGAAGACTGTAGCCCAGAACCTTGAGGCTCACAATGAAATAATTTAAAGAAAAATAACCTGCTCTGGCACCAGCCCCACACCAGGCCTGTAAAAGGAGAGGCTAGTGTTATCACCAGACATAACATGTCTGTGAACGAGCTCCCCACCAAACCTCAATGTCAATAAAAAGCAGTGTGACCTCTTATTCTCTTGGGTACCTAGAAATTTATTAAACTGCTGACCCAATGAATCATTTTCTCATCCTCCCGCAGCCGGCAGTTCTGCCGCTGAGTGCTGAGGGGTGTGGGATTCAGGGGCAGAGTGAGCAGCTCCGGGCCAGGAGCCCGGCCTCCACACCCCACTTCCTGTCTGTCAACAGTGACAGCCTCACTCTGGCTCCCCGAGCCACCGTTTCCTGCCCAAGTCACTTGATAAATAAAGTGAACTTCGACAAATAAAGCAGTGAACATAAAGAACCCTTCTTACACAAGTCATGACCTTTCAGTCACTCCCTGAACATCAGGGCGATGATTCTGGCCATTTATTAAACACTTACTATGTGCTCGCTTACATAAATAAGCTCTGTTGTTGCTTTTTTAAAGAAGTAAATGATCTCACGGGTCACCGAGTGGAAAAAAATAACTATCCGTGGCTCTGGTTTTGCTTTCTGTGTTAGCAGTTGGGGAATAAGAGAGGAAGAGTGAGGAGTAGGGACAGTTTTAAACTAAATGCCTTTGGTAATTCATTGTGACTCAGTGTGGCATAGTAGAGTGATCTCTGAGCTATGTGCCAAATTACAGGAGGACATATGCTGAGAGTGACTGGCAAGGGCTGAGCTCTGCCGGGTGGTTCTCCCGTGTCAGCTGTTTGCCCGGTGTTCCATGAGAGAGGCCGGAGGGCGGGACCCCACGGCTCAGAGCTCTCGGCTCTGAGTGTTCAGGTGCCCTTTGAGCACGAAGGGCTGGGCCCCACTCGGGCTTCTGCACTCACAGAGGCTATCACCGAAGGAGGAGCCTCTGCTCACTGCGGGGCCACTGGGAGCAGCACAGGCTGGGGAGGAGCGAGGGAGCCAGAGCAAGACGTTTCAGCTGGGCCCGCCCCACCTAAGCCTGGCAGGGAGGTGGCGGGCATTCTGGGTCAGTGCTCTCCCACCCGAGGGCGTGTGTGCAGGCCTGGGGCCGCGGGTTTTTCTGTATCCCCCCTCTCCTCTCCTCCACAGCAGCCCGGCCTCGGCCCGCCTCCGAGTCAGGGCACGTCTGCCCCGAGAAAGCACACAGGACCCTGTCAGGCTCCACTGGTCTCTGGAGACACGGCAGCCCAGAGTGGTGGGAAATGGTGGTCAGTCCAAAGCAGAAACCAAAATTACACAAAGGGAAAAACAGGAAAAGCCCAAGAAATAAAATCAGCAAGGAACGGTTTTGCGTTTAACACCCACATTGTCCTACTTTCACTTTCCCAGGAGATAATTCTGTCATCCTGAGCCCGGTGCCAGACGTGTGCTCAGAGAGCATGCTCACAAGTCCAGCAGCCGACACGCACCCAGGAACTCCACACGGCACCGAGCCTGCACTCAGCGCTGCCGTGACGGGCCTGATCCTCTCCTCGTGGGGCTTATGAATGGATAAGCTCTGGTGAGCCCCTCAGAGGCGACGGTCCCTGCCCCTGAGCTGGCAGCCGACGTGATGCATGTAGGCCAGGTGACCAGCAGAATCCTGGACCAGCAACAGCCTGGTCTGTCCGTGTGCAGACCACACTGGAGAGTCCTAAGGGAGATCTCCAGGCAGAGCAGAGTGTGAACAAGCCGCCAGTCCCAGGCAGAGCAGCCATCTGCTCAGGCATGCATGCACCTCCAAGCTACTCCCTGGAGGCTGAGGGGCGAGCAAACCCATCTCCTGGCCATCGCTACTCACCATGTATGAAGGAAAAATCAGAACTCGTTTGTGCTTGCCACAAGGCCACTGGGGGTCATCCAGGAGATTTGGGTCGTAGTCCATAAATTCTCCCAGGTCGCTGCCTAAGGATCACATGCAAAGTGACAATTAGGAGCCCCGGACCTCGGAAGCAGAAGCAGCGGGGTGAATGCCAAGTACGGAGCTGAAGGAAGGCAGGCTGGTTCGGGGCAGTCAGCTCAGGCGGGTTGCTTGCTCCGACTTTCAGTAGGTGTCTCTGCGCCAGATTCTCCCCCAAAAGGGTTCAGCAAATTCTCAACATTATGACTTGTTTTTTCCATTTTAGAAAACTATGTGTTAATCCCCCCGACCCGGGAGAGCTCAAAACCCCACGGAGCATGAAAAATGCAGTGAGCACTCATAGATCACAAGATGTGGCGCCGAAAAGGCTCCTTTTCTAAACCTGCAGGTCAGCTTATAGCTGTGCCACGTGAGAAGCACGTTTTCGGTGTGACGCCTTCTGGGCAGACCACAGTGTCCATATAAACACAAGTCAAAGCGGGTACCAATGCAAACGGCTGTAAACAACCAGAGGTGGCTGGAACGTTAGGACAGTGTGTCCGAACTCAGCACCTGGACTGGCCTAGACACGTCACATGCCCTTGGCATTTCCCTGCCTCACAGCGAGCTTTCCCCGCACGGCCATCCTCCCAGAGGTGCGCACAGGCAGACCTGGAAGCATTCAAGGCTTCCTTCAGCGGAGAGTCGGCTCTCCCGCTATGAGAGTCACAGGGGAAGTTTGCACAGGGATCCTGGGTTTCTGGGCCAATTATTTCAAGAAAAGCCAGACTTGAGAACCATGGAAAATGTAGGCAAGAAGCAGGTAACTGGTGAGAGGAGGAGCAGAGTGGTGGCGGGAAGCCAGGGAAGTCCAGCCTCTCTGCAAGATGGCCTTGGCATCCTGTGGGAGCTCAGGGGTTTGGCACCTCATCAGAGAGGTCACCCTGTGGCCTGGTTGTGAGCCGCGTGGCCTGAAATCGGGCTTGCCCAGAAGTCACGTTGCCTGTGGGATAAGCTCAAGTTCCAGGGACCCCTATCCTCCAGGCTGCATACGGGGAGACCCAATCCACATTGTACACTGAGACACCTCCTGCCGTGAGCTACCGGACCCCGCCAGGACCCAGCTTACCTGTGTCAAGGCTCCCCTGGGTGCTGCTCGCCCGCCCTATGGAGAGGCTGCGGTGGCTCAGGTTACGGAACTGGGAGAAGGAGGAGGTGGAGTCGATGGTATTTCTCCGGGCTCCAAAGGCATTTGTGGGTAACAGAAATTGGGTATATGAAACAGTCTAAAAGGTGAAGACAAAAATGGCAAGTGATTCTTCCCAGGCAATGCTAGGCTTGCATTCTGACCAAGCTACACTGCTACTCAAGTTCAGGTCCATAGTCTCCTATCTGCAATTCTACAATTAATGAGATCTGGAAACTGAAATTTGTTCTGGCCAAATTTGTGCCAGAACTGGCTGTCTGAAGGTTTAACGTACCCCACTTGGTGAGAATACTTAGGTTATGGGGCAGAAATGTTAAGTGTGTTTGATAACAGTGTGTTATCTTAGAAGCTATTGAGATGTTATTGCTTTTTATAAACCAGCAAGTGCAGAATTCCAGGACACATCAGGCCCCAGGAGTCTCTGACGAGGGGCTGTGACTTTCGTATTCCTTCGTCAGATATTATCCATGATGCTCATCTCTGTTCTATCCTCCCTCATTCCTGTGTGAACACCCAGCCTCTAGGAATGAAAACAGAACAAGTATCTTTCTCTTCACCTGCCTGGGGAATCATGGCCCATGCACTGTGAGCTCAGGGCTGATGTCCTCTGGGCACAGTGGCAACCGGCTGTCCTTGGGGAGGGGTGGCAGGAAGGTCATTTGCTACCCCAGCAGCTTCACCTGCATGCAAACTATGCTAGGAGAGCTTCCCAAAGAACACGTGCATGGGCTCCCGCACGCGGCTTTGGGAGGGTTTATGAAAGACTGACTGCCTGGATCCAGCACAACAGGTCAAGTTCAAATTTCAACCTTCACTCCTCAAACATCTACCCAGCAGCTCAGTGCATTGTGGGTGAAAGAACATGGTAGCCCTACTGCTTGGTGGTCACTATCTAAGGCTGAGGAACTCAGCCTTTCAGGGCCACAAATACTTTCTAGTAGTGGGAAGGCTGCTTGCTGACACCATCAGTGAACACATGTTCAAACTACCCCTCATCACTCCATCCCGGAACATGCACACGAACACGTGTGTGCCCGAGATACTGGTCAGTATCTTGCAGTCCACTGTCCACAGTGCAGGCAGAGAAACTGACGTGCTGCTATGGATTCACTGCCTCCGTGGACTTCTGTCTGCACAGTGGGGGAGCAGGGAGGCTGCTGTCCTACGCCCAGGAACGTGACCCACACCGGGCTCTCCCACCACGAGCAAGGTTTGTGATCTGTCTTGCTGCTTCGTCCTGATCCTTGTGGTATCAGCACAGACTCGCTGACTGGAAGCTAGGCAGCCTTACCTTCCCGTCAGCTCCCAGCTCCACGCCTTCAAGGCCGATGACCTCTTTCAAGCTCACGGCACCTGCTGATTGTCTCCCTCCATCCAACTTCAAATCCCTGGGGAGGACAAGCCAAAGAAAAGATGCTGTTGTTTGCATCCAAAAGAGACACAACAATGCTCACTACACGAGACATCACAGGCATACGGACAGAAATGACCAAGCAGGCCCTGGCTGACGGGGGCTCCCTTGGACCCTCCTTTGGGGCTCGTCAGCAGCACCCTTTGGGCAGTTCCATCCACTCTGACATAAATGACATCCAACGGAACAGAAAGCCTGAAGATGAAAGTCAGGCTCAGAAGCTGATGGATCGCTGACCTCCTTCCCGCTCAGCAAGGTCCCTCCACTCTTAGATGGTCACTAACAGGAACTAGGGACCATTCCCCGGGCACAGTGGGACAATGGCTCTCCTGGGCTCTGGCTGCTGGCTTCTTGTCAAATCTGGGGGAGACCACTTCTCCTTGACTCCCCCTTCATTAGACAGAAGAAATTCCTGTCCCAAACAGTTGTCAGGTTTACTGATGGTAATGAAAGAATTAATGCCACAACAGTCACCTCAGCTACCTTGCTAGGCCACCTAGAAAATGAGTATATTTATATAAGAAAATAATCTCTAATATTAACAATAAGCACTTCCAGAACACTTCGCAATCGATGAACGCCTTCGTACATCATTGCTTTCACTCTTTAAGATGTCCTTATCTGACACATTTTATAGATGAGAAAAATGAGGCCCAGGATGCTGGCTTGCCAAGGTCACGGGGATAGTAGCTTCAGAGACTGGTTTTGCATCCAGTGATATCTCTAGTACATCAGGTTGCCTTGGAGTTGCAGGATGGGCTGGGTGAGGCTATGCTCAGACAGAACTGCTCACATTTATAAGGACAGTCCCGTCTGCCTTACAGTAGTTCTCAAACTTGGCTGCATGTTAGAATCATCTGGGGATTTTTATCAAACTGCTGCTGTCTGGTTCCCACCTCAGCCATTCTGATTCAGTTGTTATGGGGTGCAACCTGGGTGGCAGGGGTTTTAAATGCTCCTCAGGTGATTTTAAATTGCAGCCATATCCGGGAAGGACTGTCCTCCAGCTTGTCTCTGTGACACAGTGCTCATTAGTCAACGCTACTTTCAGGTTGGCAAATTGTTGTGTGGCCTGGAGAAACACCATATTCAGAGTGTCTTCTATATGTACTTAGGGGCTGTCTCTAAGCAAGAACAAAGAAAATATAAAAAGGTAAAGGAATCAATGAAAAAGATAGAGTGGAATGGAGCAAGGTGAACAGGAAGAAGAGAGACAAGAATTCCACCTCCTGCCCCCGTCCAATGTAGAAACAGAGGACTCTGATTTCTTGAGCAATCATCCTCGTCTGTGGGTATTTCATGAATGAACTAGCTCCCCAATCTCACAATGCAGAATGTGACTAATAACAGTTTTCAAAAGAAATACCCAAGATCTGCACCCAGCAGGGACAGCATTTTTAAGGTAGTCACCTCGGGAGGCCATGGTTCTGCCATGCTCAAAATGTCTCTGAAGCCCCTTTTGAAATTGACACCAAAGTCATGCAGAAAAAAAGTAAAAATTAGCCAACCCATTCGAGTCTTCAAACTTTATGTACATAATCAGTGTTCCCTCCATTGACCAGATTTGAGTGTAAATGACTTCAGGTAACTCCCGACATCAAACTCACCTCTTAAGGACAGTACAGAATAGGACAGTAACTCATAGAACTGTAAACACTTCATTAGAAGGTGTAGATCATCTCATCGAGAGCTCCGAAAATGTCCTGAGCCTGGAAGTGCTCTCAGGACGTGTCTGAGTTCTCCCGAGGGTGCCTGCCCTGCTGGGGACCACGCTCACAGAGGGCTATGAGGTCCAGCACAATTTAAATCTCATCACTGTATAAACATGCCGTGCCAACAGAAAGCCCTGCATTTTAGTTATTGACCTCAAATCTGCAGCTGGAAGGGCCAGGTGGGCTGGGGCAAAGCAGGGCTCAGCAAGGCCACCAGAACCTCAGGATCACGTATACCAGAGACCACCCGCCCTGCTGCCCCGCCTCCTACGTGAGCTGTCCGGGCGGCTCTCCAAAGGCTTCCTCTAGCAATAAAGGATGGAGATGATGAGTGCATCAGGGCACCGGCAAAGGGAAGTGCCTATGGAGCAAAATCCAGGCAGTGAGGCTAAAACAGCCATGTGGGTCAGGAGCAGGAGCCCCACAGGGAAAGACAGGAGGTGAGTGGATACAAAGACAGCAGCACCTGCGTTTCATTCAAAAACCTACAGCACGCTTCCATGGACATCCTGCTTGCCCAGAGCCAAACCCAGCATGCACGTCCCTCAAACTGCCAAACAACTGTCTCCCTGTCTCCATTTCACCAGACAGAGAATGTTACTTAGGGCTGATGGTAATATAAAAGCAACGAATGTATTTAAGGGATGAGAAGACCAAAATAAATAAGGAGTATTAAAAATATAAGAAATATTATAAAGAGGATTAAAAATAGGGGCCTCCCACTATTAAGAGTGCTCCTTATACCTGAAACTAATATAATAAAGTATGCCAACTATACTTTAGTAAAACAATTAAAAAAAAAAAAAGAGTGCTTCTGGATGGAGAGCTGGCTGCAGGCTGGAAGAGTCTCAGTCCTGTTTGTATCCTGCCTCCGCGGCATGTGATATGCAGAGATGCTTAAAGAAGTGTCTGCCACACCGAGGTCGCCTGGCTCGTTGCTGTCTCACGGGTGCTGGTTCATGAAGATCACATGGGATGCGGGTGTTTTCCACTGTGCCCCTTTTCATCTGTCTCAATCTGCTCACCAGCTCACTGTTTCTGCAGCCAGCCCGGCCACTGCCAGCTGGCCTCTGGCTGCTAAATGCACACACCGCAGTTCACAGAACCCACTGCGCTCACCCCAGCTCCCCTTCTTGATGCTTCCTCCAAAGCAAATGGAGCCATAACAAAGTACACTTTTGGGGCGCACATCAAATCCAAGCCTCCTCTCTGTGAGAGAAACCCCAAATCCTAGGGAAAGAAACAAGGATTGTCCAAGTGCCTCAGGGACACTTTGGACCACACTTCGCAACAGGTGAAGCTCCATCACCTGTAACCACGGAAACCACCTCCAAGAATGGCTGAGCTGGTCTGCTTCCCCACTGGCTCCTCACTTACATCCTTCTACTTTCTAAATAACCAAACCGAGGAAGAAAATCAGCTGGGAGGGTAGTGGGTCCACCCGTAACTGCTGCTAGAAAAACACATTGTTCCGGCCATCCACAGAACTCCCTGCGGGGATGAAAATCTCTGAGCTGTCAATACGGTAGCCACTAGCCATAGGTGAAGATTGAGGGTGTGAAGTGTGATGAGTTGGCTGAGGAACTGAATTTATTTTAGTTCTTAAATAGCCACAGATGGAGAGTGCTTACTGTACTGAACTAAGCCTCACTGCTTACTCATCAGGACTTTAGCGACCATTAATGTGTAAGATAGTCATAGAGGATACACTTAGTGACTTGGATTTCGTCACCCAGTTTTCTTCCTCGAAGTGGCCTGGCCATTTTCTGCCCATTGTCTCAGGACATGTTTATATCCCAAGGCCCCATGCTGCCCAAGAGACTATGCGAGGAGTCCCAGGGGGTGGGGCGAGGCAGCACCTGTCGATGGAGCCAGCACCGTGGGATTGCCTTCAGTGGGAAGGGAAACGATGACTGTGGGGTCCACAATCAAAGGGGATCCCTGCCCTGCACCCATCAGCACCCTGGAAACAGGGCTCCCCAGCTGTGATAAAAATTCACATCCTACAGGAGACAAAGGCAACATCTGCCCTGAAGAGCCATGAGGACGGGGTGTGGCGTTTGGGCAGAGCACACCAAGGAACAATGACCAGCGTGCGACCCCCAAAGCCAAGGCGTTCCTGGAGACTTTGGAGAAGAGATGGAGGGATGCCCGGTGATGATCACGTTTGAATTTCCCTCTGGCCTTGCAGAAGGGGGGTTAATAGATTTTTTTTTAAAAAATTAAAAGTGAGATATTTCTTGCACACCAAAGCTGATGTACTTATATCTGCTCCATTTGCACTTCAAACACTTCACTGACATGGTAATAACTGCTCTAGAAAAGTGACTGTTTCATGAGGACACATGCTCCCATTTTTTTCTGCCTCAGACTCAAGGAGAAGTTGTCACTTACTGCGTGGCCGCCACTTTGGTGAGTTTGAATTAAGAGCACACGCGTACACACATCCACTGACGGTCGCATGTCCATGGAAAATGAAACACATCTCATCTATTTCAAAATTGTTGGATTCTTTCAACAGCTTTTGAATTTGTGTATCTTAAGGCTCTTGGGAGCTGCAAAACATCTCTCTCACAAAGAAGCTGGAAAACTTCTCTAGGGTTGCCCTTAACTAAGTGTTGTCGTGTTGCTGAAACCTTGTATTAACAGAAACCATCTGAAATTGCCGTTATTTGCCTGTTTTGTCCTACCCGAACAGCGGTTTCACATCGTGCCACCTGTTCCCAGGTAAGGTAACTGCTCAGGCCTCACGTGTGAGTGCAAAGCAAGCAAGAGACCCATGGCCCTTGATGTCCCATGTTTTGGGACCTGAGAGTGTGGGAAGTCTGCAAAAATGAACTCTGACTCCTATCCATTGAGACGACATGGAGGGACCTGGAGAGTATTATCCTAAGTGAAATAAGCCAATCAAAGAAAGACGTATCATATGCTCTCACTTATTTGTGGAACATAACAAACAATACAAGCTAAAGAACAAAATAGACCAGAGACATAGAAGTAGGGTACAGACTGACTAACCTCAGAAGAGGGGGACAGGGATGAGGAGGGAAGAGATAAACCACAGAACTTACATGCATGTATGCGTAACTAATGGACACAGACAATGCTGGTGGGGGGGGATCAGGAGGAGGGTGTCAAGGGGGAAAAAGGAGACACAACTGTAACAAAAACAAATTTATAAAAATTGCATAAAGAAGTAAAAAAAAAAGAAAAAAAAGAACTCTGAATGGTGACGCTGGTTCACCCAGAGGAAATATTTAAAAAA